CACACTCACACACACACACACTCTCTCACACTCACACACACTCACACACACTCACACTCACACACACACACACACTCACACACGTATTACAATTGTACTAATTATGAATTGCATATTTATAGATAGAGAGAAAGACAGACACCAATTAAGCTAATTTGTATTCAGATATTTCCCCTCAAGCACAGTAATACAGAATAATTTATCAGTTTTGTCATTAGAAAACTAACTGTTGTATTATTGCAAATAATACAACGGGGAAAAAGTGTAAACATATTCCTTGCTGTCATATGACAATGATTTTATTATTTTTTCCCTTACAGTAACACAATAAACATTTTGCTTTCAGTTGACGTTTTTCATTTCTGTGTCAACTTTACAATTTTTAAAGCAAAACCTAATTATAATGAATATATGAATTGTTGAACATGGAAATTAAGCTTAGACTCAAAGTACCACAAAAATATATTAATAATAATAATAATAGAGAACTATAAACCACCATAAAACATACATACAGCCCTAATGTTGAATTATTACAATGATATGAAACACTATGTCTTATTTTTTCTTTTCTTTTTTAGTTGGTAGTTGTGGTTGATTGTCAGGCCTCCTTCCAACCCCGCCCCCAAAAACACATCAGCCAACCAGATGTCAACTAACCTGAGCATTTAAAAAGATTGACAGGTAGAGAGTGCTCTGATTGGATAAAATAAGTTTTCATTCCCTGAAACACATGATTTATCACAACACCTATTTTAGTGAAAACACACTGAAAACACCAGGTTTAAAAATCAAACTCATCGGCCGAATTTTTAGCATGGTCAATATTCATCGTTGAGTGACTTCCGATCATAACGTTTTGTGCGTTCTCGATGTGGATGCACGACGGTTGTTGCTGCTGCCATGCGCCGTGTTGCGGATGCATCGCTCCATGTGACGGAGATGGATGCATTGGTACAGATGGCGGATAAAACATGCTATTTTGCTGCATTTCGCTTTCTTGTCTCAGTCGCGCAAATTTTTCCATCTCTCGTCGCAGCTCCACATTTATGGCGTTCTCTGTTCCTCGACTAGTTTCTTACGATGCTGTTTGATCATCCAAATCTTCTTTTGAGTTGCTACTTTTTCGGTTGCGATGGCCTTTTGGGCGTTGTGTTCGAACATTCTTCTGCTTTTATCGAGAGGGACCTTCGTCTGAAGCACCAACGGAAAACTTTTGCGCAACAAACAGTTCTTGCGAGGTAGCAGCGGAATTACGGAGTTCATTTTGTGGCGGTTTTCCAGCGAATTCACGATCGCTGAATCGGCGCTGGTCGCGCTGTGGTTGGAGATGAAGTTCTGGGTGAGCAGCAGCAGCGTGAACGCCAAATTCTCGATGGCGTCCTCCATACATCGCAACGTCGACCTTCCTGGTTGTGCGAAGTCGTCGGAAAACGTTGCACCAACTCCAGAAATTATACGTTCAAGTTTGTCCTTGAGTCTTTGCGCCTCGTCCGCGTCTTCAGCTTCATGCAGGATCACAAAGTCGTAAAACGTTTCTTCTACGTCGCTTTGACTCGGTTCTGGAGAGCTAAAACTGATAGGTTGAGTTGTCGGTTTGTGATCGTTAGCGTTTAGTGGTTGTGCTCAAAGTTTGAGGCGGACGAAAAATTGAGATTCGTGTTTTTGGATGTCACAAGTTGGGAGCTTCCATTGCGGTCTAGACACTGCTTCGACTTTGCCGCGTCATTAACTTCCGCTGTCGGTAGCTGGTTCTTTGCGCAAATATGTCGTAGTTGGTCTTGATTGGTTGAAGTTTCACCATCTGTTGGTGTTCGTAGACTCATCGACTTTGATTCTTCCATATTGGATTCTGTAGCAGTTGGCAAGCTGATTTCGATACTGTAATGTGAGCTTGATTGCGGAGATGATGGAGGGCCATTGTTTCGACCTAGCGACGTCAAATTGTAGGTTTCGGTAGGAAGTTCGGTGTTGGATTCATTGATAACGTCAGGCCCGCAGACTTGCTTCACTTCCTCCTCGACGTCTAAAGATAGCACACCAGCCATTCTGCTCGAAGCAAGAGCTTTGCGGTACGTTTGATCTCGTAAGGACTTGTCGCACAATCTCTCCTGCACCAAAACGTAAAAAATTCTTGCGATATCCAATAACATATTGGCGTGTGTTGACTTAAAACCACCAATATTGGCGTCTGTTGACTTAAAACCACCAATGTGGCTACTGTTCACACATTCTCCGTGCATTTTGACCATTTCGGCTAAGTATTTTCCAATGTTGCTGTCGCTGTTAGCCGTTAGCTTAGCGTGCGCCTCTCCAATCCTTTTAAGGAGAATCAAGCACATGGCATTCACCATTTCCTCGGCCCGTGTGTGGACCATTTTGAACGTCAGGCCGACCCATCGATCCTGACCAGCCTGGGAAATTATATCAAATGCCTTGGCGAGATTCGCGAACCCTTGATTCACGAGCTCCGCTCCATCGTCTGCCATTGTTTACGCAAATACGGGCTATCATATGTGAATATGTGTTCTCATATGACATGTCCAAGCCATTCCATTCAATCCGAAGTCACTTAGATGAGCGTGGGCTCCTGAATGCTGAAAGACAAAGTGAAGTCTATTTCAATATTAATTGTGATATTTCCCAAGCTAACAAAGTATATTCTATGAACGTTTTGCTAACAAGTTTTTAAAACATTAGTTCTGAATGTTCTCTGAAAGTAACATTTCAAAATATCAGACTATCAGACATCAGAATAAAAATTCAACTGAAATGTTTTAGAAACCATTTTGTTTACATCATTCCATGAACAATGCATCAATACAATTTTTGTGCTAACGTTTTGAGAACATTATTACCAGATAACTTTGAACAGGTGTTCCATTAACCTTACAAGAAGAACTTTAGTTCATAACTTTAAGAGAACCTTACCAGAACGTTAGCCAAAGTTCTGAGAACGCTCCCTGTAAGCTGGGTTAATTGACTAGATCATATAAAAAATGGCGTATGAATAATAACATACAATATCAAGACTTGAAAATAATCCCAAATAAGTGTTTAGCGACTTATTAGTTGCTGTCTTCAAACAGCATAGTCTAAATAACAGTCAGACTTGACGTTCACCAAATAATTAATAGGTAAATACTAGCTACATCACTCAATGTATTTGATAAATATGATAAAGCAACACAAAAGAGCGTGTGTCTTACCTTTGTAATAGCTCTGCATTCATCCAGAAGCAGGAACTGAGAAACAGAAACAGCAGAAACGGCGAACCTGTAGAAATGGACTGATTATCAAACATAAAGTGGCTTATGGTAACTTACCGGCTGTTTTATATCTAAAACATTAAGTGACACATGGGTGTTTTAAAGACTGCTTTCTCTTGTAATGCGAAAGAAGGTAAAAAATGTGGACTTCTGTAGGACTTCGTCGTTTCAGGTGACCAGAAGATGGCTACGGAAGTTCTAAGCGGCCATGCATTATTTTTTTTTTCTTCTTGTTTTCTCATTATAACGACTTATTTTCTCGTTATATCGACATAATGAGAGTTGCGTTATAACGAGAAAACAGCTCTCGTTATGTCGATATAACGAGAAAAAGAAGTCGTTTAAACGAGAAAACAACTCTCGTTATGTCGATATAACGAGAAAACTAAGTCGTTATAACGAGAAAACAACTCTCGTTATGTCGATATAACGAGAAAAAGAAGTCGTTATAACGAGAAAACAGCTCTCGTTATGTCGATATAACGAGAAAAAGAAGTCGTTATAACGAGAAAACAGCTCTCGTTATGTCGATATAACGAGAAAAAGAAGTCGTTATAACGAGAAAACAGCTCTCGTTATGTCGATATAACGAGAAAAAGAAGTCGTTATAACGAGAAAACAGCTCTCGTTATGTCGATATAACGAGAAAAAGAAGTCGTTATAACGAGAAAACAGCTCTCGTTATGTCGATATAACGAGAAAATTAAGTCATTATAACGAGAAAACAACTCTCGTTATGTCGATATGACGAGAAAATAAAGTCGTTATAACGAGAAAACAACTCTCGTTATGTCGATATAACGAGAAAATTAAGTCGTTATAACAAGAAAACAACTCTCGTTATGTCGATATGACGAGAAAATAAGTTATATAACGAGAAAACAGGAAGGAAAAAAAAATTATGCATGGCCGCTTAGAACTTCCGTAGATGGCAGTAAAATTGACTAGGAAAAGTTTTGAATAAGAACTACGTACCTGTTGATCTTCTGAATTTTCCTTTACGTTGTTTAGCATCAAATTTAAAGTAAATAGGACTAGTTGTTTACTTGACCATTGTTTTAATTTTTTATTTAAATTACTGTGGGCTTTCATACATATTCCATGTGCTACTATAAATAACTGTAGGCTTTCATACTGCATATTCCATGCGCTACTGCAATTAGTTTAGGGTACATTTAGCTAAATAAAAAAATCTATATTACCATTAGAAAAAAACAGTGAATTTTTCACGTGTGATTTTAATATTTTTATTTGTAAAAAAAAAAAAAAAATTTTTTTTGTTCTCAAACTATATAAAATTAGGATTTAACATTAAGAAAAAAAGTTAATATCATTAATTTAATAAATGTACTGTGTGCTTATTACTTGACGTTGAATACATATTGAAATATTTTATTTGTAAATGGAATAAACAATTAGAAATTAAATGTTGATTATATATTAATTAAAAAGGAGCGAATCATTTAACGTGTGCTTTTATTATATAACACACCGCCAAATGTCGCGAGATTCAGAAGAGCCGAGGAGCCAAGCATGTGCGATAACGAGAGCAGGGTTTCGCGCGCTCAGCCTAAGCTCCGGCAACGCTCGTGAGTGACGCGCGGCTCGACCAATCAGCGAGCGTCTCAGAACTCCGCTCCGCCAATCAGCGACGCGCTGTGCCCGCGGGAGGCGGGGAACACGTTGTTGAACACTTTTATTGATTCGAGCCCCAGGTCCAGTGCGTTTCGCGGCAGGATTGAACTGTAACAAAAGTGCCACATTTTCACACTTTTAGCGCTTTAATTGAATTAAAACCACGTTTTCTGTTCTCAAGAGGAAGATTACAGGTAAAGAGCCGTTTTTAAAATCAGTTTCGGTTGGCCTTTAAAGGTATTGTCTATAAAACCATGCGCACGCGCCTTGTTTTACTCTGTAAATATTAATAAATGTGCATATTTATCTTGTGCATGTTAACAGTTATGTCATATTTAGCGCTTTTCAAATATTTCTTTCTTTCACTTTCTGTCTTTGTCTTTAAATTTATTTTTGTATCAGCCCCATGCCCTTAAATGAAGTCTAATTGTGAGGATAATACGATTTTTGCTATTAAATCCGCTAAAATGTGTGTTATCAAGGTCTGGCAGGCTGAAATAAATACACATATTTGTGCACAACAGTTCAAAACAAGCCCATGGGAGACAGGGCAGTGTTTGTGAAGGAGTTCAGAATGGGTTAGCGTTACTTACACTGATTTTATGTCATTAAAATGATCAATGTTAAGCTGTTTTACTCAACTGGTTTTCATTTTCAGTTACTCCTAGTTTATATTTGACATTTAAGTGTTTGTTTTTGATACAAGACCACCCACATCATGACCAGCGCACAACCCCTTAATTAAATGAACGCCATTTGCGTTAATTCTGGTTTAAACCAGAATTTGATTTCTACAAATAAACTCCAAATAGACTCATTTATTAAGTACAACCCCCATTTCAGCTTCCTGTTGTAGGCTTAAACTCGACAACATTAAAGACTGATGTTATTTCATTCAATGCACTACCATTGCGTGACGTTAGGGGGCGTTTCCCTCTATTTCCGCCAATAACAGGCGTGGTTTGTAGAGCAGAGATGTCAACAAGGCCTTTTTTTAACTCCATTATATACTATCTCACCCCTAGGAATGGATAATAAGCTCTCGCGTCAATTTGAAATTGGACCTAAACTGGTAGAATCTGCAGGGACTGCAGATGCAAATTAGCTTTATAGGTAACTCTGGCATAACACTGTTGTTGTGCGTTGTCCCTGTACAAATAAATTGAATAAAGAAAATGGTAATACCGTGTTTTTTTTGGGCACGTACCTTGGTAATGCTATGTTTTTTGGGCACGTAATACCATGTTTTTTGGGCATGCCCCATGGTAAAGCCATGTTTTTTGGGCATGCCCCATGGTAAAGCCATTTTTTTTGGGCATCTACCATGGTAAAGCCATGTTTTTGGGGCATGCCCCATGGTAAAGCCATGTTTTTTGGGCATGCCCCATGGTAAAGCCATGTTTTTTGGGCATGCCCCATGGTAAAGCCATGTTTTTTGGGCATGCCCCATGGTAAAGCCATGTTTTTTGGGCATGCCCCATGGTAAAGCCATGTTTTTTGGGCATGCCCCATGGTAAAGCCATGTTTTTTGGGCATGCCCCATGGTAAAGCCATGTTTTTTGGGCATGCCCCATGGTAAAGCCATGTTTTTTGGGCATGCCCCATGGTAAAGCCATGTTTTTTGGGCATGCCCCATGGTAAAGCCATGTTTTT